CTGTAAAGCCTCATCTTTCTCACATGGAAAGGCTGGTAGTTTTGAACTGCTGACCTTACGATTAGCAGCCTGCCTTGTAACCACTATACTACCAGAGTTCCTTGCCACATGTTGTTTTTAAGTGCCATAGAGTCAGTTCCAACTCATAACGACCCTGTACAGGGTTTCCGAGGCTGTAAATCTTTACGGGAGCAGAGTGCCTCATCTGGAGTAGAGAGCCTCATCTTTCTCCCACGAAACAGCTGGTAGTTTTGAACTGCTTACCTTGTGGTTCATAGCCCGATTCGTAACCCCTACGCTACCAGAGCTCCTTGGCACATAGTAGGTGCCTAATAAATGATAATGTTCTGGTCCACTAAGGCCCCTCACCGTTCTTACAAGGTGCCTGCTAACAGCCTGAGCTGTGAGGATTTCCTGAGGAAACGAAAGGGACCTGACCCTTACTGAGTGCCTACTGTATACCAAGCCCCCTGCCAGACGCGTTCCCATGCATGAATTGAGTGAGCCCCGCAGTGACCCCACAAGGTAGGCAATGTTAGCCTCTTAAGGGGAAGTGATTCAGGGTCACACAGCCATTCCACGCTCCTGTCTGGAGATGGGGGTGGGGGTGGTTGAGCTGTGTTTCCAAGCCTTACACACCTCAGATTTCTGCCAAGCCTTCCCCAAGTGTTGATTTTTAAAACGTTTTCTTGTGAACTGGGTGAAGGTTTACAGAGCAGCTCATCTGTTTTCTGCTCAGTGTTTCAGACCCATTTTGTTTCATCTCCTTGACTGCCGAGACCTCCTCAGTGTGGGTGCTGTTGGTGATGATGTGCCGTGGAGTCAGTTCCAACTCATAGTGACCCTGCTTAGGGTTTCTGAAGCTGTCTTTACGGGAACAGAAAGCCTCATCTTTTTCCTAGGGAGTGGCTGGTCGTTTCGAACTGCTGACCTTGAGGTTCGCAGCGCGACTCACAACCACTAAGCTACCAGAGCTCCTTTGCAACATCACTTTCCCCACTTCCTCCCTGCGTTTCCTGTTTCCATTCCTCCTTCTGTCCTAACCCATTTGGACTTTGTCCTTGAGTAAATCCTGCCAGTTTTATCTGAAATGGTTGATGGTTCTAAGGTGTGCATACCACTTTCCCTAGTGGTGGTGTTCCTCTTATAGACCTGCCTATTGTTTGAAACTTGAGCAAGTGGGAAAATGACTAAATTCTTTGCATCCCGAGTCTGTCTCTTAACTCTCTGGAGGCTTCTTTTTGTCCAGAGCCTGTGCCAGGTGACCCTGGGAAATGGAAGGAGGACTGAGGAAGGCAGAGCTCAGGGCACAATCTTGGAAGAATTTGTTCCCTCCGGCCCTTCTGTGTCCATCTCCGCTCCTCCTCAGTCCGGGCCATTGCCTGCAACCCAGTCTCCATCCAGTGACTTTCTCATCACTCCCAAAATCACATCTAACTAAGCTCCTCTCCTCTTCTCCCACTGCATGTCCTGTTCTGGCTACTTGAGCCTCTTTCACCTGTGTCCTGTGCCTGCCTGGCCAGTCCAGGCTACTCTGGTCACCAGGAGCACAAGTTCTTTCCCTCCTCAGGGCTCTCCAGACAGATCAGAATGCACTGGAATGTTCTACCCTTCGTCTCCACAGGGCCTTTCCTAACCTCCCTCCACAGCCCTGTCTGCTCTGCATTCTGTCACTGTACTCCCTTGAAGGATTTATCCTGACCCCCAAGCCTTGTGTTTATAAGTTTATTTAGAGCTTGCGTTTTCTTTTCTGGACAGCAAACTCCCCAAGGGCAGGGCCCTGGATCTTCTATTTCCAGCTCTGGGAACACACTTGGCTTCTTGGAGGTTTCTATGTCCAGCATTTTTGAGTTCCATACTCATTTTACAGAGGAACAAGGGAGGCTTAGAGGTTGAGTTCTAGCCCAAAGTCACCCAGCAAGGAAATCCTGGGCTGCTAACTGCAAGGTTGGTGATTGAAATTCACCATCCACTCTAAGGGAGAAAGATAAAGCTGACTGTCTGCTCTCAGAAGCCCTTAAGAGCAATTCTGCATGTGCCTGACCCAAGCTATGGTATTTTTCAATAACCCCATGTGCGTATAAAAGTTGAGCAGTTGATAAGGAAGACTGTAGAAGAATTGATGCATGAGTTATGGTACTGGAGAATATTAAAAGTACCACGGACTGCCAAAAGAACAAACAAATCTGTGTTGGAAGATGTACAGCCAGAATGTTCCTTGGAAGGCAAAATAGCCATACTTCGTCTCTCTCTCTCATACTTCGAACATATTGTCATGAGGGATCAGTCTCGGAAGGATTAGGAAGATGGAGAAAAAAGAGGGAGATCCCCAAAGAGATGGAATGGCATAGTAGCAGCAACAATTGTGACGTTGGCACAGGACTGGGCAGTGTTTCATCTGTTGTGCATAGGGTTACTAAGAGTCAGTACCGACTCGATGGTACTTAACATAGGGTTGCCATGGAGTCTTGGCGTGACACTGTAGGAAAAGCACTGGAATGGAAACCAACCACAAGGTCGGTGGTTCAAACCCATCAGCCACTCCTCAGAAACCCTCTACCGGGTCAATATGAGTCAGAACTGACAGTGACATTTAATGTAGGGTCGTGATGAAAAAGCCCACTCAATAGCCATGGGTTTGGTGGATTTTTTTGTTTTTTAAAAAGCTTTTATTGTGCATTGAGATAGTGGAGTTAACATGGGAGAACATCAGTTTTGCATTCATCGTATCATATTTTATATCATTGCAATGGTTATAATCTCCTCCATGCATCAACGTTCAACAGTATTTGCTTTGGTTCCATTTTGTTTTTGTAAGTTATTGTGAACTGGGTGATAGTTTACATGGGAGAACATCAGCTTTACACCATTTCATTGCAGTGATTACAATCTCCTCTGTGCATCATTTAACAGTATTTGCTTCCATTCTGTTTTTTGGGGGGTGGGGGAAATGTACATAGAAACACTCAGGAATATATATTTTAAACAACCAAAGGGCACATTCTGTAAGCCTGCCTCCTGGCCCCCAGCACCCAGTCCATCTCTTTCCATGAGTCTGGAGTCTTCAACTGGTCCCTACATGTCCTCATCTCTGGTGTTGCTGCTTCTCTGGATAGGGTCCCGCATTCCGCTTGTGCTCTTGTCCTAGGGTCCTCTGTTTCTGGACTATTATCACCCATTTTTGTTACAAAACTGCCTTTACAGTTGTGGCGGTCTGAATTAGTCATGATAATTACTATTAAATCATTTTTCACCAGACTTGTCTAGACAAGATGAAAACTATTCAGTGGGAACTCTATCTTCCCTCACACACCCTTAAACCTCTTGAAAACTTGTAAGCCAGTCACTTTGTGCCTTTATCGCCTCTTCATTCTAGGTAGCCAACATCTAAGTTGCCTGTCCCTATCTACCCTGTATAGAGAGGGGATAACATTGATAGCTGATGTGAAGACTCCTTCCCTCTCGATAATTTGACCATAAGTATAGGTCAGATTGTAGCAATTTACACTGGTTTCCTTTAAATTTAAAAATCTTCTAGCTGAGTTCTGATTAAGCCATTGAGGCTTAGGTCAAATGGGTTGGTGTTGACTTTTAACCCTTCTTCCTGCTACATACGTGAGCTCACTACTGAGAAGACCACATGACTAGCATATGGACATCCTGTGTGTGCGCACACAATGAGAGTGTTTGTGTGGGATTCTCTGCCTGAATACTCCCAAAGTGTTGGCCATAAGCAGAGTTGGCCATACACTTCTAAGACTTCTTGGCATCTCCATTTCTTTTATGAAGTCCCTCATAAAAGCTCTGGTTGCGTAGTGGTTACGAATCGGGCTGCGAACCACAAGGTTAGTAGTTCATAACTACCACCTGCTCTGTGGGAGAAAGATGAGGTTGGAACCGACTCGATGGCACATAACTCACTAAGCACATCTCTTGCCTCTTAAATTCTGTGTCCTGGGCTTCCAGATATAGGACCCCTTTATTACTGAAATCACAATGACGAGACAAAAGCTAAGTTAGTCTTCCAGGTGTACAAGCTTTAATCAATGTTGCATAGAACTCATTGTAACATGTTCCTGCAATAAGATTGACTTCTAGCATTCCTCATCTGGATGAAACTGACAGGAACAGGCTTGTAGGGATGTCATTTCATCCATTGTATTTGTGCTTCCGCCCTAAGGGATAAGAATGGGAAAAGCCCTTTAATAGCAGACTGCTTCAGGAAATTCACCCTCTTTCAATTTTGGAGTGCCTTAGGACCTGGAAGGAAGTTTAAGACTATCTTAGGTCTCTTGGCCAGTCCACTCAACCACCCATTCCACCCATTGGCAAACTCATTCCATCCATTAATCCACTACTCAATTCAACCATCTTCCATCCACTCTAGTCCAAACAAGCATCTAGTCTCCAGGTAGCGAAGTGGTTACAAGTCGGGCTGCCAACCTCAAGGTCAGCAGTTTAAAACTACCAGCTGTTCCGCAGGAGAAAGATGAGGCTTTCTGCTCCTGTAAAGATTTACAGCCTCAGAAACCCTGTATAGAGTTGCTATGAGTCGGAACCGACTGCACAGCACATAACAGTTGCATAGCCAATTCATCTATCCAACCATTACCATTCTTCCAAGTCAGCTATCTACCCAATCAATTCACCTAGCTAACCTACAATCCAATGTATCCATTCAGCTAACCAATCAGACATTCAACTTTACACTCCCCTGATGCATCCTTCCCATCCACCCAAGCAACCATCATACCCTTCTATAATCCATTTACCACCTAAGTGTTCTGTTGTGCATAAGGGTGCTGAGTCAACCAACTCAACAGCACCTAACAATCTTAATTCTCCACCCAGCCATCCCCTCAGCCACTTATTCATTCACCCATCCACACTCCCATCTGGCTAGTCTTACCTGTCCATCTTGCCTGGTTCTGCGGTCTCCTCCCCCATCCCACCCCCTGGGTTGCTGCCCTCATCTGTGAGGCCCTGTGGCCCTTTCTCACCTGCATGAAGGCCTGAGCTCCGCCTCTTGGTTTTGTATGCCTGCCTGTTCCTCTTCACCTTCCTCTTTTTCACCTTCCCTCCTGCGGACTTCCTGTTCCTGGAGTAGCTGCAGCCAGGAACGGAGAACCTCGCAGTTGCGTGGTGGGAATGCATGGTCTTTTTGGGGTGCCTTGGGGACAGGCCAGGGTGTGGACTGTGGCTTTGTTGGCCCGGGCTGTGGCTGGTCCGTCTCTTGCTGGAGCTCCGGCTCCAACTGTTGCCTCCTTGGCGGTGGTGGGGACAGTTGCACTGGCTGCAGGCGTGGCTTTGGGAGTGAGAGTTGCTATGGGGCTGGGGTTGGGTGATGAGAAGGTTCTGTGTCTTGGTGTCCATGGAGGCCACACTTGGAGAGGCAGAGGCCGCCTCCTCCACCTCTGCCAGCAGGCCCAGCTCTCCAGGGGCCCTGCCACCTGCCCTGCTTTTATACTTGGGGCCTATTGTGATGACAGCAGCTTACAGAGGATGCAACCTGGGGGGCCAGGACCCCCGCCCCTCTAGGCAGGTCTCACAGGCACTCTGTTAAGTATAGGGGCCCCAGGCCAGGCTGAGCCAAGGATGTTCCTCATCCTCAGACCTAGGCCTTCACTTCTGCTGGCCCCGTCTTCATAGTATTGGCGCTTTCTCTTTTGTTGCCTGCATAGCTTGTTAGGGTGTCAGGAGCACAGCTGTGACCCCAGTAAATGGCTGGCTGGCTGGCTGGGCAAAGGAGTCCCCTGGGTGGAGCAAATGATCAACACATTCTACAACAGAGCCACCCAGAGGTGTCTCGGAAAAAAGTTCTGGTGATCCACTTGTGAAAAACCAGGCATTCAAAACCCTACAGAGCACAGCTTGATGCTGACACACACGAGGTAGCCATGAGTCAGAGGCAATTCATCAGTTAGGTGGGCAGATGATCAGTGATCAGATAGAGAAGGCTTATCTAATAACGTTAATTGAACGACCTGATGGTTGGTGCCGAGGTCTGCCTATCATGGCCACCTCCCCATTTGAACCCAGATCTAGGTTCAAATCTCAGTTTAGACCGACAGTGATCTTGGGCAGTTCCTTTTGGTTTCCTTCTCTGACAAAGCCACACCATTGGAAACAGCGCCAGTCCTTCCATCCCTGTCTCCGCCCTCTTCCCCTGGCTGTAGCCAAGCCTCACTGGTGCCTCACACAGCCCCTGATTCATGACCCCGTGCACAGTAGGACAAGACTGGCCAGTCCTGTGCCACACTACATAGTACTTGTGACGCCGTCTTCTGCTTAGATACCCCAGCACCTCAAACAGAAGGCCCAGACCTCCCGTCTGTACACAGGACCCTATGTGATGACCCCCTTCCCTGCTCAGCCTTTGGGTGCCTCTAGATGCCTAGCCCACCCTCTGCCTACGTTGGGGCTGGTGCTCGATCCCCTGTTCTCTCTCTTCTCCCAGCAGGCCCCAGCCCACTGCTGTGCCCACATGTGCCTCTTGTTTTAAGTTGTTTTGTTATGCGTTGTTAAGTCGGTTCCGACCCATAGCGACCCTGTATAGGGTTTCCGAGGAGCAGCTGGTGAGCTTGAACCTCCAACCTTGTGGTTCAAACTGACCTTGCAGTCCAGCACATTAACCTGCAGTGCCACACTAGGACTCAGTTGTTGTAAGCATGATACTTATATCTTAGTAAACATGTCCAATTTTATACACAGTAAGGGCCTTGGTTAATGAGGATGCCCATGGGGGTTAGGTACTGAGCCCCACCTTTAATCCTCACAATGAGGGTTAAGCGATAGCCCCTAAACATGTCCCAGTCTTAACTCTAGGACATGTGAATATGATCATATGTGGGAAAGGATCTTTGAAGGTGCCTTTAGGGCTCTCCAGATGAAATCATCCATTAGGAGTCTTACAAGAGATAAAAGGAGAGAGAAGCTAGCAGAGCTCAGAGGGACCCACCACCACCAAGAAAGGAGAGTGGGCAGAGTGGATTCCTGGGGTCCGTGCACTGTGAGGGTCCTAGATGGAGGGAAAGATTGATTCTGAGATGCATGGTGAGCTCCAAGGAATGCCGGGGGTACAGAATCTTTCCCCTGGAGCCAGCGGTCTGGATTTAGACTCCTTGCCTCCTAAAGTGTAACAGAGTAAATTTCTGTTTGTTCAAGCCATGCACTTGTGGTCTGTCTGCTGTAGCAGCTCTAGAGAATTCAGACAAGGATGCAGTGTGGTGATCAGGGCCTTCTTCCTCCGCACAGGCCTCTTAACCGTGCCTCTATAGTCCCAGCCCGTCACTGTTCAGGACATGTATTCATTCCAGGAGGTTGGAGAATGCCATTGTACCAGCTTGTAGCAGGGGCTGCTTGCTGAGCACATAGATGGGTGAGTGGTAGCTTCACTCTTGGGACCACTCATCCATGAGGCACTTAGCCACCCAAAAGCAGGTGCTTTCCACAGTATGGTACCATAGTAGCTCTGCTCAAGGCCCTTCTGGGGCCCAGAGGGGTGGTAGAGGGGGTCACTGCTGAGAGCAGAGCAGCGTAGGGAACATTTGTCGTGGAAAGAAGATGGTTATGGGAGCTGGGGGCAGATGGGGAGCCCGCACTTGGAGCTTTGTCTCAGGAAGAGCGCTGAGCTGAGAGTCAGAAGCAGCGGGACCTCCAACAGCTGCTCTGGGCTCCCGTGGTTCCCTGCTGCCACCTGTCCCCCAGAGCTTGTCCCACTGATAAAGCAAGACTCCTGTGGAGTGTCGGTCTGAGGGTGTCAGGAGAAGATTCTACAGCTGAGATGGATCCAGAGCCCCCTCACCCCACACTCTGACCCCAGAAAGGAGGGTCAGCGAGACAGAGAGCCCCTCCACATGACCCCGTAACAAATGAATTACAGTCTACATGTCAGACCTGATCCTACTCAGCATTTCTGTTCTCCCAACAGACCAGCCTCACCCTTAATCAGGGACAGACAGTGATTTGCTCAAAGTCACACCGCTAGTGGAAAAGGCATGAGGTTCCAGGTCTGCCGCATTCCCACGCCAGGTCTTTAGGAACAAACAAACCACCCATGGCTAGAGCAGTGCGGGGGCTGCCTAAAGGAGACCACCTTCCCCCTGGTTGCTCTCAGTCCTAGTGTGCTCAGATTCAGGAGGCCTGCCGCCACTGGCGGGCAGGACTCGCTGAGGGGACCTTCCAGCCCAAGCCACCCTGTTTCCCACCTCTTTGTGAATGGACTTGGGAAGAACCTGGAACTGAGTGCCTTCACAGCCCCTGCCCCCGTCCCTCCGCCACCACCACCCTGTGCCAGCTCCCCTCTATACACACAAGCACACGTACACACCACAGGCGCTGGGGACCACGGACCAGAGAGGACTCATTTGGAGAATCTTTTATTGACTCTTCTCGGAACCTTCTCGGTACTGGAGCGTCGGCTGATGCCCTCCCAGGTCTGTCTTCACCGGTCAGGAGTGTGCCGGCTGGGGCTCACTGACAGCTTCACTCTGCTGGACCTCGGGCTCGTCTACAGTGTCCACCTCCTGTTGCTTGGCCTCCATCAGCTGTAGCTTGCCCTGGACCGGGATCTCTTCTTCCTCCTGCTCTTCCTCTTGCTCCTCCTGCTCTTCTTCTCCCTCCTCCTCCTCCTCATCCTCTGATGACAGGGAGAAATTGTCCTGACTCACACAGGCCACGAGCTTCTTCATGGAGGATTCGTGGCCCCGGCCGTGACCAGTGCTGAGCTTGGCACAACCTGAACCCATTGTGCTGGCTGCCTCTCTGGACTGCAAGGAAGCAGCTGGGAGGAGGGCTAGGGCCCACCAAGTGCCAGGCAGGCTGCTGACATCACAAAGGGGCTTCTGAGCCCCCCCACCCCCACCCCTTCGTGTGCCTGAGTTGACAACTGATTCAAGCCTTAGCCACCAGCAGGGCACCCCCCAGCTTTCGCATCCACGGGCCCCCTTTGTCCCAATTTTGTCATAGTCACATAACATGTATACTTTGAAATAGTTGGTTCTGCGCTATGTGAAGTTCATCTGGATTTTTGTAATAAAAATAACAAATGGAAAACACCAAATCCTCTTTATACCTGGGGTCAGAGATGGACGGAAAGGGAAAAGAAGAGCTTTTGAGAATCTGACATGGAGTCAGAATGGAGGTTAGTTTCTGGCAGGGGGCAGGATATGAGGGGCCTGCTGGGGGCTGGGAAAGCCTCCTCGCTTGAGCTGGGTGGTACTGCCCAGATGTTATTAGAAAGAATAATTTCGGTGACCATGTCACCGATAAGGGGAAGTGAGGAAAAACCAGCAATGAAGCTGCGAGCTAAGCCCTACCACGTTCAATAAACTCCTGTGAACCTGGGTGGAGACCTGGTTGGCTAGCAGTGTGGCAAGACCTGGGGACTCCTGGGCCCAGAGTCAGTGACATAGCCACAGAGGATTAGAGTGGAGAGTGAAGCGTCCAGCTGATAAGAGAGGGCATATATGCACAAGAACACCCACACTTGCAGATAATACCCACTTGACCTGGCTTTAATGGCTGGATGATCAGAGCTCAACTAGAAGAAGAAAGAAGAGGAAAAAATGAGTGATATGATACAATTTGATGAACTTGACCTACACCTATGGATGAAATAGGTCAAAAGAGGGAACAAATCTCTACAGTGAGGATCATTCCCACCCCATCCATACACAGAGTAGACAGTGATGGGCAACTTGGACATTGGCTACTCAAAATGGGGGGGCTACAAAGGCAAGAAGTGACTGACTTACAAGCTTTCAAGAGGGAGCTTAGATCCAGAGGGTATGGAGGAAGGTAGAATCTCCACTGAGTAGTATCCAATCTGTCTAGGCAGGGCTGATAAAATGAAATGTGGATAGGTCTCTTATGGGTACAGTAGTGAATAATTGTTATCAGGACTGCTTGTGAGGGTTGGAAATGTTAAGGTTGACGTTTTGTAGCAAAAGGAGGGGAGTGATTAACTTTGCAGTCCAGGAGCGGAGGTTCCTGGGACCATAAATGGAGAAGAGCAGAGTGCAGGACCCTGGACCCAGAGAAGCAGTGACACCAGAGATGGAGGCAGAGATGATGACGTGGAGAGATGGAGTGGCTGGGGACTCTTGGCCCAGAGAGGGAGAGGGGCTGTGTGCTAATGACCAGGGGGAAGGCTTGCAGGGTGTACCCTTTGGTTGGTTGATGATGCATGGAAGGGATTGTAACCATAGCAATGAAACAATATACAATGGGATGAATGTAAAGCTAACATTCTTCCATGTAAACTAACACATAATTCACAATAAAAACATTAAAAAAATAATGATTTCACATGTCGCAACTCAAAGGGTACTAAACCAAGCTCTTATAATTCTAGTTCAGGGGCCTGACAGTGT